TTCTAAACAAGGCATTGGAGGCTTGTGGTCTATTATGCAACATGGACCAAAGTCTAGAGGGATAACTTTAAGATAGTTTGGGGATGCAATATAATTTTTCCAAGGATAATTTCTAGATGACCACTTGGTTTAGGTTCCTCGGGTTTCTCCCGGTCTCACTCAGATTGTCCTTCAGGTCAAAACTTAATACGCAATGAACCCGAGAATTTAGATTTCTAAGAGTAGAATTAGTCGCTATAATTTCTATGTATCTTATAAACAAATCAATTAGGAAGATAATTCGACTTTCATGTTCAAGCATTAGATTGTTATTTACATGTTAAACACATAGGAAGTATCAAGGAAGACACACAAATGCACAATGGATCAATAAAACGAGAAGTCAAGAAAACATACCGTACCAATGGGCGCGAGGTGGGCGGTCGACCGCCTGTCAAGTCCCCACTGGAACGTGGCAGTGGGCGCGTGGTGGGTGGTCGACCTCCTGCCAAGGCTCCACTGGAACGTGACCGTGAAGAATGAATCACTTCGGGAAAGTCCCGAGAATGCACAGATTTAAGTCCAAACAATTCCACGCTTATATGAACAACAAAAAGGATTTAAATGCATGGGAAAATCTTAGGGAATCACATTATAATGATACTAACAAGGGACATAAGAGACATTCAATGAGATATCATAAGGATCACACACCCCTTTCCCCCCCTTCTTAACTAGAGCTACGTTCCCACAATTTTCTCCATGTAAGCTTATGTAAGTACTTATCAAGCTATTAGTAGGTTAATTATCAAAGTAATTGGTCAATTATGATTAGGGAAAGTGAGCTATTATATGCCGAATAAAATTACCAATTACAAGTTCCAAAATATCAAATAACAAATATCCAAATAACGCACGTTTGATCAAATAGTTTAAGCAACAATATGCAATTCCTGACTCGGTCTATAAACAAATCAATTAGGAACATAATCCAACTTTCATGTTTAAACAAATAATCGAGTATGGTATTTAAACAAAAATCGATAGTTTATCAAGTTTTAGTATGTCAAAGTAAATAGTTAGTAATCAAAGAGTGATATGCAACAAGGCAGGTAATAGTATGCAAGGTTGTAACAACTTTTAGGGCAAGCATGAGGAATGAAGAACAGGTATGTGAGAAAAAGCGATAAACTCACAATCTCACCGCGCATCCTAAGATTCCTATATCCTAAGTTCCTAAACACCTGCAGTTTAAGCTTAACATTCTAAAGTTCAAGCCTAATGTCTTAAAGTCTTATCCTAAAGGCATTGTCTTAGGGTCGAACTTAGGCTCTGATACCATCTGTAACACCCCGAAATTTTAAAACTTTTCAATCTTATAATATGAAAGCAATTTTATTAAATAAATCCCAAATGGAGCAATTTAAACATAAGGTCTGCGGTGTTATGCCACATCTGAGCTGGAGAACTCAGATGCACAGGCTATTCTAACTATCTATCCTCAAATAATGTCATTACATCATCAAGGCACGCAGGCCGAAAGGAAAGACTAACTATCTAAGCCGAGGTCCTCTAGCGCACTCCGGTAGCTAATCATCTGTGTCTGAAAGCCAAATATATCTGTTCAGCGAATGATGCTGGTAACCCACTCCAACGTGTTGAAATACAATATAAGTATACAGGAATAGACTGGACAAATAGAGATAAGCATATTCAACAGTTATAATCAAGCATATAAAGACACTAACATATATCCTAGGGTCACAGATTCACTTCACATCGTTCATATCATCATTCAATTCATATCTTATCACATAAGCACACTTTGGTGGCACCACAAGACCAATCGCATGCCCATACATGAGGGTCAGCGCATATAGCGCTAACACGGCCTCGCAGCACCCTGCCTTGTATCGCCACACGAAGGGGTCGATTGCAACCGACCGATGAACCGCAGCTCATCATAACGTTTGATCGCAACCAAACAGTGGACCGCAGACCAAAAGTGAACCTCTGACCACAGCCAGGAATATGAACCGCAACTCATGTAAAACGTTTGATCGCAACCAAACGGTGGACCGGCGCCCAAAAGTGTATTTCTGACCGCAGCTCAGGTATAACCAATTTGATCGCAACCAAATTGGGGTATCATGCACACATAACACATAGCAAGCACATGCAACCCATATTAACACATTGGGAAAGGGGAGAAAACGTTATAATGAAACCTATGCGTGGTCATCCACATACTAGGAATAATCCTACGGGGTTCATACTTCTTTCACCTAGGCCAACGGGATACCAATTCAACTAGCATGCGGTACACAAGACTCTTTTATTCTACGAACGGTACTCGAAATATCAAACTAGACTTAGGCACGATAAACGGAGTCCGTCGGGACACCACGAGGGTCGGGGAAACATCAAACTGGGGAAATCACCATCCCGAAGTGGGAAAACCAGAGGGTGGCCGACGGGTGGAGGACCACCCGTCGGCGAGAAACCGGGCAGCGGGTGCCCGGCGGGCAATCGCCTGCCCGCTGCCGGCGACGCCCAAATGGGGCAGCGGGTAGGTGGCGGGTTCCCCTATCCCCACCTACCCCCACTGACTCTTTTTCAATTCTTGGGTCCCGGGATCTTTCGTGGAACCCGAAACCATGTTTCGACACTTTTAAACACAAACGACGATACCACGTAGTCAAATAATGGATCAAAACCAAGAATCATATTGAACATATCCTAGCATGACTTCTAAACATAATTGACACCCAAACATGCAAAATCTCACCCAAATATATACCAAGAACATCATAATATAAAATTCCCAATTTAACTCAGGGCTCTAATCCCATTCAAATCATCACGATCATAGTTCATCTTTAGTATCAAGATTTATCAAGAACATCACACAATCATCAAGATCCTCTTGTCATCATCAAGATCATCAAGATCACACATAAAATAATCTCATCAATCATCAAGATCATGTCATAATTATCATAGAAGATTTCATCAAGACACAAGCATATAGAAGGAGCCAAAGAAGAAGATTATAGCAAGGAAAATAGGTTTTGTTGAGACATGGGTTACCTCTTAGCCATAATTAATCCTCCCTTGGCTATTAAGGTTCTTCCCTAAAATTTCCATCTGATTGATCTCCCTAGGCTTGGTGGTGGGGAACCCCTTGGGAATACTTTTGTGTAATATAACTATGGTGGTAAGGGCTCTAATGCTTTCTAATCCCCTATTTATAGTATCAGGAATCCTAATCATAATCTGAATAGTAAAGGCCTACTTTCTTCATTCCTAATAGATAATTAGGTCTATGACTCCTAATTAGAATCTGATTATTAAAAGGTTTACTCTCTTTATTCCTAATAGGCATAAGACTCTAGTTTAGGAAAGGGTCCACGATCCATGGTGAGCCATATTAATTAATTAAAGGGAAACCTAGCCAAATTAAATCCTTTTTAATTATTATTAACGGAATTAATTAAATAATTAATCCGGGATTGAAGGTCGTAACACAGGGTGTTACACTTGGTGAAGTGTTAAGTGAAGGTTTTTGTCTACAAGAGGTAACCCATGCTCTACAAAATTTATTTTGCCTACCTATATGATGATTTATTGGATTCTACATGTGATTTTGCTATGAAATGTGAGTGTTGATGCATTGTTTTGTGAAAATGCATATCTAGAGCTTGTGTTTAGGGTTCTTGTATGCTATTGCTTGGCTATTCCTTTGTTAGAACTCATCAAGGACTATGAGTTGGACATCCAGTATCACGAGGGAAAAGCCAACGTAGTGGCGGATGCCTTAAGCCGGAAGTCTAAACATGCCGTTAGTTCCATTTGGGTAGTAGCTGACGACCTTTGCAAGGAGCTTCAACGGATGAACCTGGAAGTGGTGGAGCAAGGCGAAGTTGAGTCGGAAGTCCATCTCTACAACCTGAGAGTTGTACCTACACTTTGGAAGAAATCAAGGAGGAGCAGCTTAGGGATGCAAGCTTATTGAGGGTAAGGAATGATTTGGCTAAAGGAAGAGGAGGACCGTTTGAATTGTCCATGGATGGGGAGTTGAGGTACGAAGGTCGTTTGTGTATACCTGTATCGTGCGATCGATTGAAGCGTCAGATTTTGGAAGAAGGCCATAATACACCTTACTCGGTTCACCCCGGAGGAGACAAATTATATAAGGATGTGAAGAGTCTCTTTTGGAGGCCTAATATGAAGAAGGAAGTCGCAGAGTTTGTGGGTAAATGCCTAAACTGCCAAAAGGTTAAAGCGGAGCGTTGTAAGGTCAAGGGGTTGGTGCAACCGTTAGAAGTTCCACAAGGAAAGTGAGATTCTATATCTATGGATTTTGTGGGAGGTCTACCGACGACCCGTTCCGGCAAGGACAAAATTTTGGTGATAGTTGATCGGTTAACTAAGACTGCCCGCCTTATCGCAATGAAGGAGACGTGGACAATGACGCAGTTGGCCCAAGCCTATGTTAATCAGGTCGTGAAGTATCATGGAGTTCCGAGGGATATCGTCTCCGATCGGGATCCGAGGTTCTTGTCTCAGTTTTGGAAATCCTTGCAAGCGGCTCTTGGAACCAAATTAAGTCTCAGTACTGCCTTCCATCCGGCCACATATGGACAAACAAAGAGGACCATACAGACTATTGAGGATATGTTGAGAGCTTGTATGTTAGATTTTCAAGGGTCATGGGAGGATCATTTGGATTTAATCGAGTTTTCTTACAATAACAGCTATCATTCGAGCATACGCATGGCACCTTATGAAGCCCTCTACGGTCAAAAGTGTCGCAGTCTGCTATGTTGGGAGAATCTAGTCAATCCGGTAGTGTTGGGTCCGCAATACCTGCTTGATACAGCCGAGAAGATTAAACAGATTCACGAAAGGATGAAAGCGGCTCAAGATCGCCAAAAGTCCTACGCCGATTTGGCTAGAAGGCAAGTGGAGTTCTCGGTTGGAGATAAAGTTTGGTTGAAAGTATCTCCCACCCGGGAGTGATGCGGTTTGGAAAAAAAGGGAAGTTGAGCCCTAGGTTTATCGGTCCGTATGAAATCCTTGAGAGGATTGGGAGTTTGGCTTACTGGTTGGCGCTACCTATGGAGTTGGAGAGAGTGCACAACGTGTTCCACATATCCCAGCTTAAAATAAATGTTCACGACCCGGCGCATGTTTTACCACCGGAGGTGATACCGTTAGACGAGGACTTGACCTACGAAGAGAGGCCGCTCAGGATTCTGGATTTCAAGACTCGAGACACATGTAGGAAGTCCGTTAAGATGGTGAAGGTTTGGTGGACACATCACAATGTAGAAGAAGCGACTTGGGAGCTGGAGTCAACCATGAGGGAACGTTATCCAGAGTTGTTCTCGTCAGGTACCTCGTTCTCGCCGCTTGTTAGTTGGTTGTTGCTTGCCTTGTGTGTTTGTTCTTGCTTGTTTGTTTAGTTGAGTAGTTAGTCTTGGTGGTTGGTGTTTTGAGCTAGCTGCTTAGCTCTTGATTGTTGGTAGAAGTTGGTAGTTGTGTTCGGTTTAGAGTTCGATATGCTCAATATATCCGTTGGTTAAATTCTTGCAATCCTTGTATCATTACACCTTCTTGCTTGCTTTGACATTTTGTGAATCCTTTGGGTTTTGACCAAAAGAGAATATTCTTGGCACTCTTGTCACATTGTTGTTCCATTTCACCGTTTGTTTTAATTCGTCGTACCCAAACTTCGGGGACGAAGCTTCTTTGAAGGGGGAGAGGATGTGACACCCCGTAATCCAAATTCGATTAATGGATTAATTAAGTAATTAATCCTAATTCAATTAGTAATTTAATTCCTTAAATTCCTGAAAATTCAATAGTCGGGGACTAGTAATTGACTAGTCAACCCAAGGTCAAGGTTGTACCTTAAGCTTTGTGAGTAGTTCCCTTGTTCCCTTACACCTCTTCATTTTAGTAAGGGTATTCAAGACATTTCACCTTGTGTTAGTAATGTAAGCTAACCTAGTAGACACTTATCATTCTTTCTCCTTACACTTTCCAAACTTGAGCTCTTCCTTCTCTCTAAATGTTAGATAGCTTTTCTTCCAAGCCAAGTTGGAGCTTTGTCAAATCTTCAAAGGTTGTCTCCAAGATTATACCTTTCATACATTTGAGAATCTAGGAGGGTAAGATCTATGTTCATCTTGTGTTTTTAGTGTTTTCTAAGGTGTCTTTCCTTAAAGATGGAATCTTTATGATCTTTTGGTGTGTTCTTGAAGTGGGTTTGGAAGGTGAACCTTATTAGGAGCTTGGTGAAGTGTTAAGTGGAGGTTTTTGTCTACAAGAGGTAACCCATGCTCTACAAAATCTATTTTGCCTACCTATATGATGATTTATTGGATTCTACATGTGATTTTGCTATGAAATGTGAGTGTTGATGCATTGTCATGTGAAAATGCATATCTAGAGCTTGTGTTTAGGGTTCTTGTATGCCATTGCTTGGCTATTCCTTTGATTCAAGTCATTTTGTTGTATTTGGTGAGATTTGGCATGTTTTGGACTTGAATTTGAGCTTGGTGTTGAAAATCCCCGAAGGGGTTATTTTGGTGTACAGGAGTGTACCCGCGGGCGGAACGGCGGGCAGTGGCCTACCCGCCGCCCTACCCGCGGGGTACAAGGTGGCTTGTGGGTGTGAACCCGCGGGCGGAACCACGGGTGGGGGTCTACCCTTGGGTCCAGCCGCTGGGAACAATATGGTGTTGTTTGGGGATTTGTTCCCCGTGATTCTTTTGACTCGGTATTTAGTCTTTTGACTTCCTGATGTTCTTTTGTGGAACTATTTGACCGTCTTCTTGATGTTTCGTATGTCTAGAACTATATGGTAGGATTCCATGTAGGTTTTGGTGTCTTGAATCGTGCTAAGTGTTCAACATTGTGATTCGTTGAACCGTGATGAGTCTTGTGTGTTGTTCGGAACTACTTTCGGTTTACCGGTTTGATGAGCATGCTAGTTCGGTGTTTAAATGCTAGCTTGTGTGTTGTTTATACCTTCCTAATGTTGATGATGGCTTGTGTTAATCATCATTGTTGTTGGACTGTGATCCATTCCTTGATTGAGTATGGTTTCATATCTTCGTTGTGATCCGTTGATTGATTCCTGTTGTGGTGTGATGTGTGTGTGGCTGTACCTGGATTGCACGATTTTGGTTTATGGGGCCTTAATCACCAAGGTACGGCAGTGGTCCTCGTGGTGGCCATGACGCGATTATGGAGTTTGTGACCTGAGTGATGGGTTCACGTATTTTTTGGGTGGCATGTGTTGCCGTGTGTGTGATCGGTACCCTCGTGTACTATGAATCGGTGGTCTCGTTGGTGGGGTACGACGGTCCCTAGAGGGAAAAGGTTGGACTTGGTTGTACAGGGGTCCTGGAGGTAATGATTGGAACTAGACATAAGGTTGGGGGTAGCCATAAGGTTGGAATCGGGCATAAGGAAGGCATATCAATTCGTGATGGGTGATGTCACGAAGGCTTGTGTAGCCGTTGTTGTGTATTTCTCTATTTGTGACGTGTGTAGTCACAAAGGCATGTGTTGCCATTGGTTGTGTCCTTATTCTCTTGTGTTATGCATGTCGGGTGTTAATCTTCTGTGTGATGGTAGATTATGCCTTGAGTCGTTCTTGTGAGTCGTTGCTGTTCCTTGTGGTCTTGGGATGTGTTCCCTTGTCTTGTTGTGAGTGCTTAGAGTCTTGTGTTGACTTTTGCTCTTGGTTTTGAACTTATATATACATATTCCGTTTCGCAAATGATTTTACATACGTATATCCTATCTATGTATGTTATTTCACATGTATTGGTGGGTTACCAACATTATTCCATGACCGGGCGTCGTCCCATCTTTTATGTGTTTCTTTCAGGTGATGTGTAGACGTGAGCACGGTCTAGATCCTGTTAGTGTAGATCCCTCGTTTGTGTTGTTATGGCCTGTGTGCCAAGGATAGACATTAGTACTTTTGTTATGTATGGATTTTAGATTGTGGATTATGCAGATGTTAGCCTGTGCGTTCACCTCTGGGTGAGCGTGTCATAGCACCCTTTTCATTTCCAGTTTATATAAACCTTATTCAGTCTTCCGCTGTGTTTGATGTTTTGGTTAGTTATCTGTATGTTTAAGGCTTAATTCTGTATGGAAATTAGGGGGTGTTACACTAGGTACAGGACCTCTTCAGCAAGAGAGGAAAAAAGCATGCTCAAGATGGATTGATCTTGTTGGATCCACTGAGCACGGAGAGGATTGGCCGCCGCCGGCGCATCGGAGGAGGATGCAACAACAAATTCCGGTGGGCAGACGGAGGTGCCGTCGACGAAACCAAATAGGTTCTGTCCTTTAAGAAATGGCACAAGCTGCGCTCTCCAGAACAAATAGTTCGTGGCGGTCAGCTTAATCGATATGTAATGATGTGCCTGGTGCAAAACATTTGACGGCGGCGTGGTGGTTGCAACGGCGGGAGTGATCGCTTGAGGGTTCTCTACCGGTGAGGTGCCGTCGGCCGGCTGGGAGTTGGCGCTGGAAGCGTTGGCCATTAAGGATCAAAGGAAGAAAAAAAATGAGTAGGCTGTGATACCAGATTGATGAAGATGTTTGTGAGAAAATGTATTTGATTGAATTGAATTGAGAGTTACAGTAGGAGTTTATATACATGCTGTCTAACAGAATAGTAGTTAACAAAGCTAAAGACTAGGCCATGCTAAGCTATGAATGCTAACTGTCTAATAGACCCACCATTTTACTATCCTATATTTAAATTTTTTTTTTATTATCATTCTAAAAATTTATATTGTAATTATAATTATAAAATTGATGAAATCTTATTGATAATTATAAATTTAATAATAATATTATTGATAATTATGAATTTAATAAATAAAAAGAATAAAAAAAATTAATAACACTGTATGTTATATTAAATTTAAAAAAAATTAAAAATAATAAACAACCATAACTGGCCGTTTGTGACACCCCGCAATTCAAATTCAATTAAGGGATTAATTAAGTAATTAATCCTAAACCAATTGGTAATTTAATTCCTAAAATTCCTGAAAATTCAATAGTCGGGGACTAGTAATTGACTAGTCAACCCCAAAGTCAAGGTTGTACCTTAAGCTTTGTAAGGAGTTCCCTTTTTCCCTTACACCACTTTATGTTAGTAAGGGTATTCATGACTTTTCACCTTGTGTTAGTAATGCAAGCTAACCTAGTAGACAATCCTCATTTCTCTCCTTACACTTTCCAAACTTTAGCTCTACCTTCTCTCTAAAAAGGTAGATAGCTATTCTTCCAAGCCAAGTTGAAGCTTTGTCAAATCTTCAAGAGTTGTCTCCAAGATTCTACCTTTCATACATTTGGGCATCCAGGAGGGTAAGATCTAAGTTCATCTTGTGTTTTTAGTGTTTTCTAAGGTGTCTTTTCTTAAAGATAGAATCTTTATGATCTTTTTGGTGTGTTCTTGAAGTGGGTTTGGAAGGTGAGCCTTATTAGGAGCTTGGTGAGGTGTTAAGTGAAGGTTTTTGTCTACAAGAGGTAACCCATGCTCTACAAAATCTATTTTGCTTACCTATATGATGATTTCTTGGATTCTACTTGTGATTTTGCTATGAAATGTGAGTGTTTATGCATTGTCTTGTGAAAATGCATATCTAGAGCTTGTGTTTAGGGTTCTTGTATGCCATTGCTTGGCTATTCCTTTGGTTCAAGTCATTTTGTTGTATTTGGTGCGATTTGGCATGTTTTGGACTTGAATTTGAGCTTGGTGTTGAAAATCCCTGAAGGGATTATTTTGGTGTACAGGTATGTACCCGCGGGCGGAACGACGGGTAGTGGCCTACCTGCTGCCCACCCGCGGGGAACAAGCTGGACGTGGGTAGTGTACCCGCGGGCGGAACCACGGGTAGGGGCCTACCCGTGGGTCCACCCGCGGGGAACATGATGGTGTTGTTTGGGGATTTGTTCCCCGTGATTCTTTTGACTCGGTATTTAGTCTTTTGACTTCCTGTTGTTCTTTTGTGGAACTATTTGAGTGTCTTCTTGATGTTTCGTATGTCTAGAACTATATGGTAGGATTCCATGTAGGTTTTGGTGTCTTGAATCGTGCTAAGTGTTCAACATTGTGATTCGTTGAACCGTGATGAGTCTTGTGTGTTCTTCGGAACTACGTTTGGTTTACCCGTTTGATAAGCATGCTAGTTCCGTGTTTAAATGTTAGCGTGTGTGTTGTTTGTACCTTCTTATTGGTTGATGATAACTTGTGTTATTCATCGTTGTTGTTGTTGGACTGTGATCCATTCCTTGATTGAGTATGGTTTCATATCTTCGTTGTGATCCGTTGATTGATTCCTGTTGTGGTGTGATGTGTGTGTGGCTTTACCTGGATTGCACGATTAGTGGTATGGGACACTAGTCACCAAGGTATTGTAGTGGT